GACTTCCAAACCGAGCTATCCCCAAGGACTAATCCCCAAAGCTTTTACACTAGGGGGTCTTCTCTGGTGGTGTATTCCATATCGTACCCTTAAAAACATTTATGCATATGATGCATGTCAATCAAGACTCCATGCTTTTCTCATATCACATTTTCATGTCTCATTCCCATATCACATTATCATGTCTCAACACATCTCATCATCACATCTCCTCATTACATTTCATCATCACATCTCCTCATTACATCTCATCATCACATTCGCATTATCACATCATATTCACAATTTTCATAGAGCACTTTTATTCATATCAGAACTCATCTATTTGCGAAAGTAAACATATATTCATACATCTCATACAACAAGGAATACAACAAAACAATTAAAAGGTAAAACAGAAAATATTAGAAATATGTCTGTTTCTCATAGGGTTCCCACAGGAACCCATAGAGCACTCTAATTCATATCAAAACTTGTTTATTTAATAAATTAGACACATATTTACACTCATCAAATATCAAGAAACACAACAGAAAACTCAGAAGGTAAAACATAAAACATTTAAAATTTGCCTCTTACAATTACCAATGCATTCCCTTAGGGTTTCCCACAGGAACCCATAGGGATCTCAAATTATACATTTATATTTAAATATAGGAAAAATAATATAAGAAACATATATAATTAAGGAAAACCCCCCATACGTGAGCATATAACAACAACAACAAACAGGGGATTAAGGGCTAATCCAACTACCCAACATACATTCCCACACCCAGAGTAAGGTTTCTCACTCCCTTCTTACCTCGATAAACAGGGGTTGAAACTGAAGCAGGATCTCCTCCTCCGGGTTCCCCTTGGTCTCCAGAAAGTGTAGAAGAAAAAGGGTCAAAAGTGAAAGAAATGCATTTTTCTGGAGTGGCGAACGCATTTATAGGCATCAAGATTTGGCCAGAACGTCCTGTTCCGAATTCGGAACAGCCCGTTCTGGGCACATAGAACATGTACAAAAGCCTCTCCCAGAACGGCCCGTTCCAAAACCAGAACGGCCCGTTCTGAGTCAATACTTTGTTCTTTAAAAATGGCGGGTCGTTACACTTTTATGGTATCAGAGCAGTTCGAGCCTAGTGGACACTCTGTGGGGGTGGTCCCTTTAGGCTTTTGTTGCGTTGAACTCTGTGTTGTGTTGGATGTTGTGCTAATTTGTGTTGAGTAGTTGAGATGTAGTGTGTTGAATGAGTTGTTCATTTTGTAGAAGATGCTTAGAACATGAGCAGATAGCCCATGCCATGGAGATGATGGCTATGGCTATGCAACAGCAGAACGCCTACTTTGCTAGGATGGATGCTGAGAGAGCTGAGACTAGTGTCGCAAGACCAGTTGGGTCATAGGTACGTAAATAACTTGGTCAACGACCCCACTTTGGTCAAAAATCCTATTTTAATAAATTAGATTTCCTATTTTAAATTCGTATACTTTCTTTATCTATAATAATAGATAAAAGATATCTATAATAATATATAAAAAAATAAAAAAAAGAGACTTTTTTTTTAATTTTTTAATAGATGAGAAATCATCTCTTAAACTCTCTCAATTACTTTGTTTCTTCAACCGTATAAACAATTTTTATGTAAATTTGAATTTCCACTCAATATCATGTTTCATATATCAATCATGAGTTCATTTTTTTTTAATAATTATTTACACAAATGAAAAATTTCATTAAGTCTATAACTGTTTAATTCAAAAATTAGAAACTGTCAAACTATTACTATCTTATAATTTCTATTATTTTCTCCAGCATCTCCTACTTTTCATTTCTTTCGCAACCTATTCTTTTTTTTTTTTCGACTAGTAGAGTATTTCTCCCTCTTCTTCATTTTTTATCGTTATTATTTTTTACTACATTTTTTTATTATTTTACTGACTTCGATGACTGCCAGCTTCACTGCATTTGTTGATTGGATTCTATCGGTAAAAATCTTTGTTTTATATAGTAAGTACTCATCCTATCAAATCAAACTTCTAACACTTTTTTGTTGCTAATTATGCATAGAGGTGAATGGTGAGCATATTTGCATCTGTATTCTAAAGATTCTTTACGTAATATCATACGAAAAGAAACCATGGTGATGTCAATTCGGTGCACGTTACTTCAATTGTAACTACTCATTTTTACATAGGTTTCAAAGCTATTTTCTAAAATTATTGTCCCATGACATGTAAATCATATAATATAATTTTAGAATATCATATAATTTGCAAATGTGTAGTAAGTAATTTAGAGCATTTTTAGGGTTGATTATAAGTAATCTCACTTATCACATCAGTCTCATTTTTTCTTAAGAATGGATGTTTATATAAATAATTTTTGTAAATTTTAAATAACTTATATATTGATTTTCATGTTAATGTAGTAAGTGGGGTTGCTTATAAGCAATCTCACCAAAAATGGCCTTATATGAAATATTTATGTGCCAAATGAAAGACGTATTTTCTATATTGCATTAAGGCTTCAAGTATGTATTTAGATTATAAAGCCTTATTTTATTTATAAAAAAAAAAAAACAGTTTCGTAATATTTAAACGACAATAGTGCAATTTAATTAAATAAATATATAAATATTTTGTAACTTGTATTAAATTTGGTACCCACTTTTTTACACTTGGTCAAACAAAACCTTAATGGCAAATAGGTGATGAGGAAGTTGAAAGATTTGTTGGTAGTTAGCCGAAAAAAAGAGACAGCAGAGGATGATGCAGCACACGTGACCAGCTGACAAGAGAAAGCAGCCAGCAGCCCCGAAGTAGTCTCAAAAGCCAACCAACCAAAACCAACTAACCAAAACTAGGCTGCATTCATTTGCATTTTCTCTTTCTCTTTTCTCTTCTGTGTCATAGCATAGCAATAGGAACAGCAACAGCATTAGCATTATCAACCCTACAATGGAGGCTCCAAGTGCATGCTGGGACACGTGGCTCGGAGAGGCACTCGCGGCCCTTCACTCTCTCAAAGTCCTTCGCTCTCTCAGACCCATTTGCCTCCGCAACCACACCCCTGACGACGCTGCGTTCCAAGTGTTCGACCAAATGCACCAATGGGACCGCTCCTCTGTTGAGGTGGAAATTGCTCACACCACGTTTTCTAGATGGATGCATGACACCCCGAGTTCTGGTACCCTTCATTCTTCGCCCGTGTTTCCTTTTTAAAACTCATTTATCTACCTAGCTTTTGTGGTTTCTCTAATAACCATGGGCACCTCAGCTTCTAAGTAGAACTGGAGATACACCCTCAATTTATTTCTTGTAATTTTAAAATGTTGTTTAAGTTCCTATATAAATGACACTCGTTTTACTCTTGAAATTACAAAAATAAAGACTAAAATGACTAAAATTATAAAAACACGCTTAAATATATTTGTGGCCTTAATTTGGGTAATTTTTTTTTCTTTTTGATTTCCCAAATTTCAAAAAATATCTTTTTAGTGCCTATGATTTCGAAAAATGTTTGTTTTAGCCTTTCGGACCACTTGCAGCATCATTGACAAAAGCAAATTGAGTTAGCTGTGCAGCAACAATTAGGTTTGGTAAGAACACTACTGGTGGGATTCTGTGTAGCTAGTTCACTAATGAAATGATGTTTGGATAGAAGGACCTAAACTATTTTTGAAATTGTAGGGATTAAAAAGATATTTTTAAAATTTAGTGGATAAAAAAACATTCCAAATTTAATAGACTAAAAATATATTTAAAACTTTTAGTAATTTTATTCCAGTATGTCACGTTATTTACTTTTTAACATTTATACAAGTGTAATATTTTTTTACAGATGCGTAAAATTAACCAAAAAATATTTTATGAACCTTAGATTCCACTGCCTTTTGGTCTTCTGCATAAATGTCGTTCAATTCATTTTTTAAAAGTATATTGAACGTAGTGTCTTTGTTCTGATTACTGACGATAACATTGAAATTCTGTTGTTTTTTTTTTTTTTCGGGGGGCAGGTGATGAGATTATTTGTAGTGCAGCTGATGGTGATGATGAAGCAGGGGCATCTTATGAGAAGTTTAAAAAATTAATTTTGTTTTCTGGAAATGATTATCTAGGCCTGAGTTCCCATCCCACTATTGGAAAGGCTGCCGCAAAGGTGTGCTTGCTGTTCTTTCTTCTTTCTGATTTTTTTTCTGAGACTTTGGTTCAACTGTTTTCTTAGTATGAACTCATTGCCATAATGTTCATTGTTCTGACTCAGGCAGCCGAAGAACATGGTATGGGGCCAAGGGGTTCTGCTCTTATTTGTGGATATACCAATTATCATAGGCTACTTGAGTTGAGCCTTGCAGATTTGAAAAAGAAAGAGGTAATGACTGACTTGCAAAAACTACTTAAACCGTTCTGGTTTGGTTATTAGTTCTACTTTGTAGCCTAGCTGAAGAATAATTAATTGATGGCTATGATTAAACTTGAAAATCTAGAATCATATGCCATTGTTTAGTATAATTGAATAGAATACTGTTTAATGATGCCCAGTCGCAAATTGATTGCATGCTTGTGGTTGCTCCTTTGTCCTAGTTTGAACATTGCTTGATCTTATTGATTATTAATGAAGATTACGAGGTGTGTTTGGAAGAGCTTATTTACAAGTTATTTGGGCTTGTCATATAAACACTTTTGTAAGTGTTTGAGGGAGCTTATAAAAATAGCTTATGATATATTCATAAGTTGTTTTCAGCTTATTTTAACAAGTTCTCAAGGATAGCTTATGAAAATATGTTACAACTTATATGTAAACAGTTTAACCCTATTTCCTCTTCGATTATAGAAACAATCTATATAAGTATCTTTTTAGTAATGAACCTATATAAGTGCTTACTGTATAAACACTTATTTGATTAGAGCACTTAATTAAGTTGATTAGCGAAATACACCCAAAGTGTTTATTGAGGTGATATATTTTATTGATGATGAAGACTGTTCTGCAAAAGCTTGATTACCAAAATACACAAAATGGTTATTCTAAATAGTTGTCATTATTTTATCAATGTCCCTGACTATGATTAGTCGTTTTTAGGCAATTAATATTTGAATTGGATGGATATGGTCTGCCTCAAATTGAAAAAATAATAAAATATGCTTTTATTTTATTGTCTTTTCACTTATTTATGACTAAGGTTTTAATGACCATGTTTGAATGTACTTATGAGTTGACAAGTATAAAATTAATCCCAACGAGTCGCATATATTTGCTGGCCAACTTTTGATTATAAGGAGCTTATGGGTTACATTCTTCTCAGACCCACCTATTGTCTAATGAATTGAAGAAGGGACCCAAATATGATAAGTCTGGATTATATGAAATGCTGACTCATTTTTGGTTTAAAATCCATGCTATAGGATTGCCTTCTTTGTCCCACAGGGTTTGCTGCCAATATGGCCTTGATGACGGCAATAGGAAGTGTGGGTTCTCTCTTAGCTCGGAATAATGTACCTTCAGAGGACCAAAAGATTGCTGTCTTTTCTGATGCATTAAATCATGCATCAATAATTGATGGCATTCGTCTTGCTGAGAGGCAAAAAAGCGTAAAGGTGTATGTATATAGACACTGTGACATGTCCCACCTCAATATGCTATTGTAGGTTTTCCCTTTCCCTCATTTGCAAATTGACCTCTTTTTCACTTCTGGTATAGTCACTCAATGCGTTGACATTGTCATTTATGAATAAAACAGATCTAATTGCAGCATGAGGAAGAAAGTTGTGGTGACTGACAGGTGAGTAAATCTGCTACTAGGAAAATAGAAAATGCTCAAGGTTTAAAACAACTACACTGTGATGCTTTGCTTTGATAAAATCAGAAAGGCCAAAACCGTTACAGAAAAAGATGTCAAAGCTTTTCTAAAATTATGCCTTATTTAAATTAATTACTCATAAGTAATGATTTTGAGCAATTCTCATTACTGTTTTAACTGAAAGAACCAAAAGAGAAGGGAGGCATATCACTGTATTTATTTCTACCTAAAAGATATAATGAAGCAATGATTAAAGTGCTTTATTGACATTCTAATATGTCATCATGCTAAATGCACGTGTTTGGTTTTTCACTAGTATTTCATCCTTCGGCATAACTTACATCCTCCCTGCTAAAGAGAGGCATGATTGGTCGTTTGGAAATATTTTCAATACCTAGACCTGAGAATTACTCATGATTGTGGACAGAGAAGCTAGATTATCCTATTTCTTAGTGTTTCTTCATATTTCTGATGACAATGAACTTTGCCTACTCTTTGCAAATAATTTTCGATGTGCATTACAGTTCATCCTGTTTTTTGCAGCTTGTTTAGCATGGATGGAGACTATGCGCCTATGGTTGAGCTAGCAGAACTTCGCAAGAAGCATGGTTTTTTGTTAGTCATTGATGATGTAAAACCAATATGTTTCAGCAATTTTTTTTTTCTTTATACATGGTTCTGATCCTTGGATTAAGACTTACAGAGAGCTTACAATAATAATTATATTCATAATACAGTTATAACATTTCATTATTGTTCCTAGATAGCAATTACCCACCCACTCTATCATATATTGTCTTCCTGATTCAATATTTATGTGATAGAAATATGTAGCCTCTCCTTGCTACAAAGTCTTGTGCAACTATAAACAATCAATATAAAAATCTCTGTATATACAGGCTCATGGAACATTTGTTTGTGGCAAAAATGGTGGTGGTGTTGCTGAGGAGTTCAACTGTGAGAAGGATGTGGACATATGCATTGGTACACTAAGTAAAGCTGCTGGTTGCCATGGAGGATTTATAGCATGCAGGTGACTATTTGAGTGCACTTGCTCCTGAAATTAGTTTCTGTATAACATTGAAACAAAAGCATATTATGTTTCTCGAATATTTCACCAATGACTTTTGCTATTTTATGAATTCTAATAGCAAAAGGTGGAAACTATTAATACAATCAAGAGGTCGTTCATTTATATTTTCAACTGCTGCACCGGTTCCAGTTGCTGCTGCTGCTCATGGTAAGCTACAGTGTTCTACTTGAATTGATATTGAGTCTGTTTGGATAAATTTTTTCAGAAGTATTTATAAGAGAGAAAAAATAAGAAGGAAAAATGAATACGCTTCTAAATGTGCACAAGTTAAAAATAATTTTTTGAAAAAGTTATACTAGAGAGCATCTATAAATTAGCTTAAGCTAATTTTAATTTATGGATAAACTTTTTTCGTTTTTCTTTCATATTTTTTTTTCGCCTAGAAGTGTTTATGGAGAAAATAATCATATTGCACTTTATGCTTTTCTTATTAATTCCTACTTCTAAGGATTTACCACTTGCCCTGGTCCTTCATATGTATCAAGCTATATCCTTATAGGCTGTAGTCTTGTGATAGATTTCTTATCTATCATTCTCACTTCTAACATCATCCTATAATTTAGAGGAATAAAGCTATTTACCTGACTATTGCATTCACAACATTGTTCTACTGTAGATCGTTTAATTTTAATAGGAAAAAATGTTAAATTGGGACAACTTCCATTCAGATGAAGAAATCAATACAGTTGTGCATATATGTGAACAGGAGTCATTTAGATGAGAGTTGGTAATTTCAATCTGATGCTAAGGAAGAATTGTTCAGACTTCAGAGTTGGTTAAATTGATCTTCTTCTACCTTTCTTGGCATATTAGTTCAGAGATTAAATATATATTATCATTTCTTTTGCTATTGCTTAGCTCCCCATGTCTTATAGGAATTATTTATTTGTTAAAAGTGTGATGCGATGCGATTTTCCAGCTGCTGTGGAAGTGGCAAAACTTGAGAAATGGCGTAGAGAGGCTATTTGGAACCGGGTGAAAGACTTCCATTTACTTACAGGAATCCCTGTTACAAGTCATATTATATCCCTAATCGTAGGCAGTGAAGACAAAGCACTTCAAGCAAGCCGGTAAATTTCCCTCTCTTAATACACTCCTAAACTCTTCTTTCCATGTACTTAGGTTATTCATTCTTGTATCACTCAACTTTCTCTTCCATGCATGTTTGGTTAAGGTTAATTCTGAGAAAAAACACATATTTTAAAGCTGACAAAAAACGATTATTTTTCTACAATAAGCTGAACCAAAGCTTCACAAGCTGATCATGAAGGCATTTTAACACTAAGCATTTTCAGTCTTTCTGGAACAGGCATTTATTGCAATGTGGCTTCCACGTGACTGCAATCAGACCACCTACTGTGCCTCCTAACTCATGCAGGTTTATATCTTTTTATATGAAACCTCTAAATTAGTCATCCAGATACACAGGGTTAGACATTTTAGTCACCGAGTTTTTAAAAATCTTCCATTAGTTCCTAACTTTACATAAAATAGTTCATTTTAATTCTTTTTTCACCTTATTTTCCACTGTCATTTTGCATCAAGAAGGACTAAAGTGGGTGATGTGTATGCATAGTCAGAGACTAATGGAGATTTTTAAAATTTCATAGATTAAAATGTTTAACTCACAATTCAGAAAACTAATTTGGGAATTTAGTCTATCCTATATTCGCTTTAATTAAAATCTGAAAGTTGAAAGAGTAATGATAAAAGTACCACTAAGATTCTCCACCCAGCGTGCACCCAACACAGATAATTAACCATGTGTACATAATTAGCTTTGTCTCACAAGTAGTTAATACAAAATGAATGTGATTGTATATAATTATTGATTAAGAACCTGTTTAGATATAAATTTAAAAATGTTTTTAAAAATCTTTTTTACTGAAAAATACTTTTTCTTTTACAATAGAGAAGCTCTCAAAAACATTTATAATTTGTATTTAAACAGACTCTAATACTTGTGACACTAATGTATGTCTATGTATGTCTCATTTGTAGTTAATAGTATCACGAGAGTATTGAAATATCTAATGGTGGTAAGCTTTGTCTCAAGAGGTTAAGAGTTAATGAATGAGTTTAAACAAATATCAATCTTTACTTGTAACACTAATGATTAAATGTCTCATGTGGTTAATAGTATCATTAGATTGTTGAAATATGTAATGATGGTTAACTTTGACTCAAGTGATTAAAGGATAAATGAATATGTATATATAATTATGAATTTGTACTTGTATTACTGACGGTTAAATAAGCCTGACAAGTAGTTACTATATCTCGAGATTATTAATTCATCTAAACCAATTATAAAGAGAACACTTCTTTTTGTAAACTCCATTTGGTTTCCATTTTTAATCACACATTTTTTCACCTGAAACCATATCACACATTTTATAATTTGGTTTCTATAATTAAAAAAAAAGACAACTACCAACTCTTACTAATAATATATAGTGTTACCTATTCCTGAATCTCAATATTTTTCTTTTTCTCCTACAATCGTTTTCTTCTCTCAAAATCCTTAAAAAAAATAAATATACAGAGGCCTGTTTCTTCTACTAGTATGTATAATATTGGTTTAACTGTGCCTGGTTAACATACCAGGTGGAACCTAGGTTGACGTTTTTCAGTGGGATTATTATAATTTTTCAAGTTGAAATTCATTCACTGTACATCTGTTATTTAATTCTTTTTGCATCTAATATTCTTTAGGCTGCGAGTGGCCCTAAGCGCAGTCCATACAAGGGAAGATCTGGAAAACCTAGCAGCTGCACTCTCAAGTTGCATCAATTTCCAAGATACCCGCATATATGGCTGCAATAGCTATGCAAGACTGTAGCTAGCTTTTGATTCTTCCAAGATGAATTGCATCATCAATGATTGAGACTATGCCGTAAATAAGTATACCCTTAGTGCCGTCATTAGCAGTTGAAGTCAATTATATTCCGTTTATAGTTGTAGGCTGCTAGCTTATTCCTTCATGTTATACCAAAATGACAAGCTATTTTGTCAACATCTAGATAAATATTGTTAACTAAAGGTATCTATATGTATGTAATTTTTATCAACTTTTAGTTTAGGTTGTGTTTTTAATACAATCATTAGTCATGCATTATTAATGACATCATTATATATAGTGAGATTTGTTTATATAATATAGAAGTCTAAAAACTGGCATTAAATCTTATACCATTAACAAGTTTTTGTATAATACAAATTTAAATCTAATAATTAACTTATGTAATATTATATTTAAAATCATATATATCAAATTTTACATGATTTTAACTTTCTAAATGTTATTTAAAAGTAAATATTTACACATTTTAAATATTATATTATACGTTAAAATTAAATAATATAATAAACTATTAAATAATTTTGGAATGATGTAAAGTTTGATATACATTATCTTAAGTATAATATAACATTATTTAATGATTGAATTGATTAAATTTGTATTATTCAAAAAAAAAATTGTTGAAAATATAAAATTTAGTATAAATTTTTAGATTTATACCTTATTTCAATAGAGCCTAACACTCTCTCTATATACATCATGTGTGTCGACAAATGATTCCAAGATGGTGTAGAAAACGATACACTACCAGTGTGTTTGGGGGAGCTTATTAGCTTTACAAACCCTTTTGTGTCATGCAAATCGGATTTTTCCATGTTTTTGCCTGTTTGGTTCCAAACTTGTTTTCAGATGCTTTGGCTTAGGAATGTGCGAAAAAAAAAATGGAATCAAATTTGAACTGATTATAAAAACTGAGTTGTTTTGAGAAATTTTTTCTTGAACTGAATCACTGTGGGGATGATTGAACTATTTTCTTGAAGTGATTCGGCTTGGTACTTTTGACAAAATTTATATAAACAAGTATAGAATGATAACCAAACTATATAAAATAGAATCATTATGAAAAAAGTCAAACCGTTCCGCTTTATTAAAAAATAAATTTGGGTAACCAAACTGTTTTTATCATATAGTCCAGTTTGGTTTTATCTTTTCAAAAACAAGCAAACCTTGAGTAAAAATATGTAGTTTTTTACATTAGGCTAGTAATATTTTAGTTTGTGTAATATATAAGATGAATATTTTATTGTAGAAAAATTTCTAAAAATATTTTTGTTGAATAATAATTTCTAAAAGTATTTATGCTTAAGATAATTATTCTAATTTGTGGGTGTATACTCAAGTTTACAAATGTTGATTAAAATAGGATGATTCAACACCATCATGACATTGCCTCTTCTCTTTCCCAACAATCGTGCAGCACCGTTGGAGGCAATTTTCGATGTCAATGTTTCGTTTCTAGTACAACACCTGCTTTAGATTAATCTTGTTTCATTGTTCCGAAAGAAAAAAAATTTGAAACAAGATGGTGATGGTTAGAAAATAACCTTATTTTAGAAAAAAAAAGAAAAAAAAAAGAAAAAGGCGATGAATATGAACCCATAGATAATTTTTTTTTAATTTATTTCTTTTTTCACACAATGGTCACTCTGAAATTAGAAATTTAGAATATCATGTTTATCATCTTAACTTTATCACTTGATCAATTCTAATGGTTGAAGAAAATTTGTATAATGATTAAACCTGAAATTTTACTAGAATGTAAAACTAAAATTTAAGTTTGTACAACAAAATGCACTATAATTATATGAAATCACTCATCAAAGCAGCAAATTGGGTTTTTGTCTTGTTGAGTTGCAACATAGAATTTACTAGTATATAGTACAAAATGAATGTTCTTAATCACAAGAAAGAATATCTTTTTACTAGTTTCATGTTATACGCAAATATTAACTAATGAAGATGCCACTGCTACAGTTAGATTGGACAAAAACTTGTACCAAAACATTTATGTCTTTTCGTATTATTTAACATTAATATGATATTCTTGGTATAGGTGGAGACAATCAATATGATAAAATTATTATGTAAGATATAGTTCTTTATATATAAATATTTAATGCAATTATATAATTAGGATTTAAATATGAAACTATTGATTAAGTTGAGATAATTTAGTATCGGTTAGTTTATATGTTCATTGGTTAACACTTAACGATGATAAATATGAGTCTATATATAAATATTTATGACATAATATTAAAATTTAATATATCATTTGGTCTCTAAACATTTATAATTTTTTTTAATTATGTCCCTAATTTAAATAAAATTGTAATCGGGTCTTTTTGTGTTTTTATATTTTTATAATTTAGTTTATGAGATTAGAGATTTGTTTATTTGTAAAATTTGATAAAATATTATTTATATTTTTGCATTCAGACAATTATATTATATTATTATTATTTCATGTTTTCATCCATGTGTATTAAGTTTTATCTCTACGTGTTAAAATTTCTCACTACTCCATAATTCTTATGATTAAGAAGATCACAATAATTTTTATACATAGATTAAAACTTGCTGTGACACCCTCTACCCTAACATATATATATATATATATATATAATAATAATAAAAAGAAATATCTTATTGGATAAAAAAAATATTTAAAATTGAAATGACAATTCTAATAATCATGTGAGTAGAGAATTCACATTCATGTACTTAATCCAAATAGAAAATAAAATTACAAAGAATAAAAATTGAATTTTCCAAAATATATACTTTAATGAAACATAAACAACATCATATTCTATTTCTATCTATGTCCCGATGTCACATGTCCTATCAGAGCAAAATCCCACATAGAAGCCTAAGTTCCATCGTCCACATCCTCAGTCTCATGCTGCTAATGGTCTCCTGTATATCAAACAAGAGAAACAACACAAAAGAAGGGAGTGAGAAACATCTCACTCTGGCTCATGGTGTAGGAACGCACACCGGATAGCCAAACACAAACAATACAGTTACCTCAAAGATCAATCAACAACAATAGCTTATCCAATCATCCAAGTCATACAAATAGTAATTTATTATCATTTAATAATAAGAATGCACATGCATGGACACAGACTACATATTATCATGCATGTGGCGTCAGTAAAACATTACATGGCATATTGCAGCTAGCAATACACGAAGAGTAGTCTAGGAGTACATGCCGGGTCACACCCTCTGCGCACTCTCACTAGAAGGACATACTACCAGAGTCTCGTCGGGATAGCTAAGCCGCGCAAGATACATCCCATGCATACAATGGGCGAGACTGAGACTTCCAAACCGAGCTATCCCCAAGGACTAATCCCCAAAGCTTTTACACTAGGGGGTCTTCTCTGGTGGTGTATTCCATATCGTACCCTTAAAAACATTTATGCATATGATGCATGTCAATCAAGACTCCATGCTTTTCTCATATCACATTTTCATGTCTCATTCCCATATCACATTATCATGTCTCAACACATCTCATCATCACATCTCCTCATTACATTTCATCATCACATCTCCTCATTACATCTCATCATCACATTCGCATTATCACATCATATTCACAATTTTCATAGAGCACTTTTATTCATATCAGAACTCATCTATTTGCGAAAGTAAACATATATTCATACATCTCATACAACAAGGAATACAACAAAACAATTAAAAGGTAAAACAGAAAATATTAGAAATATGTCTGTTTCTCATAGGGTTCCCACAGGAACCCATAGAGCACTCTAATTCATATCAAAACTTGTTTATTTAATAAATTAGACACATATTTACACTCATCAAATATCAAGAAACACAACAGAAAACTCAGAAGGTAAAACATAAAACATTTAAAATTTGCCTCTTACAATTACCAATGCATTCCCTTAGGGTTTCCCACAGGAACCCATAGGGATCTCAAATTATACATTTATATTTAAATATAGGAAAAATAATATAAGAAACATATATAATTAAGGAAAACCCCCCATACGTGAGCATATAACAACAACAACAAACAGGGGATTAAGGGCTAATCCAACTACCCAACATACATTCCCACACCCAGAGTAAGGTTTCTCACTCCCTTCTTACCTCGATAAACAGGGGTTGAAACTGAAGCAGGATCTCCTCCTCCGGGTTCCCCTTGGTCTCCAGAAAGTGTAGAAGAAAAAGGGTCAAAAGTGAAAGAAATGCATTTTTCTGGAGTGGCGAACGCATTTATAGGCATCAAGATTTGGCCAGAACGTCCTGTTCCGAATTCGGAACAGCCCGTTCTGGGCACATAGAACATGTACAAAAGCCTCTCCCAGAACGGCCCGTTCCAAAACCAGAACGGCCCGTTCTGAGTCAATACTTTGTTCTTTAAAACCACATCCGGAACTACCCGTTCTAGGTTGAAATTTTACCCATGCATGCTCACCACCTCTAGATCTGCATCACCTCTAAACTGAGGAGGACTACACCTCCTAAACTCAGCCAAAACCCGACTCTCCTATGACCCAACTGGTCTTGCGACACTAGTCTCAGCTCTCTCAGCATCCATCCTAGCAAAGTAGGCGTTCTGCTGTTGCATAGCCATAGCCATCATCTCCATGGCATGGGCTATCTGCTCATGTTCTAAGCATCTTCTACAAAATGAACAACTCATTCAACACACTACATCTCAACTACTCAACACAAATTAGCACAACATCCAACACAACACAGAGTTCAACGCAACAAAAGCCTAAAGGGACCACCCCCACAGAGTGTCCACTAGGCTCGAACTGCTCTGATACCATAAAAGTGTAACGACCCGCCATGGCCGTCACACTACGAACAACATCACACACTACTGAAATATATATACTAAAATAGTATAATAAAATATTTACAACACAAGTTGCTAATCGAGCAACCAACGACACCAATTATATACAACAAAATATGCTACTGTAAGGTAGCCTTCAAAAAAAATATCCCTCTCCAAGCACCTCCTGTGGCCTCTAGTAGCTATCTCCTAGCCTATCCCTGCCCTGCTCCCATACCAACGTATGATCATCGCAGTCCAAACCACATGGAAACACGTAAGGGTAAGCTAGAGACAATAAACAGCTCATAAATATCAAATAAAAAACACAACTATATAATCATCTTCACATCCGACACAAAAGATAAACAACACATATATTACACATCTTTCAACAACACATGTTTAAAACAACTTACAACATAACAACATTATCATC